GACTTGGGCGGTGCCAGACTCCTCTTTTGGGGATTCTTCTTTGGCGGCAGCGACATCCCCCCCAGTTACCGCTGCACTGTTCGACGGCGATTCTGGTTGGGCGTCGCCGCCACTCGCTGGGCTGTGTGGAGTCCCCACCGCCGCTGGGGAGGAAGCAGCCGCAGATCCCTCACCGCCGGGTCTGCCGGCCGACTGCCCAGTGCCAGCACCCCCGTGCCCTGCTGGTGGGGGGCCCAGAGCCCCAGGCGTGCTGCCGGACACGCTGTGCTGCTTCTCAGGGTCAGGCTGAGAGTTGTGTTCAGTAGGGAACTTCACGGTCTTTCCAAGAGCAGATTTTGAGCTTTCTTGTGTAACCTTCTTCGTTGGATCTTTGGCGACACAAGTTTTCGTCCCCGAAGCAGCTGTTTGCTCTTTCTGTTCTTCAGTGCATATAATTGGGCCCTTTCCTTCTTTAGTACCCCTCAACGGATCTTCATCCGAGAGGTTATCAGGCACCCCCTGCATGCCGTGGGAACTGCTGGCTGCCTGCAGTTGGTTTTGTTGAGTCTTGCTGGAAAGAGACTTAATGCACGTTTTATCTTCAGGAGGCAGTTTCTTCGCACACTCTTGTTCGTCAGTATCCCCGACCGCAGCCCCGTCTGTCTGCACATTCTGGTCTTGTGGTTTGGGTTCTGACCGTTGCTCCGACTCCTCTTCAGCATCATTGGTCTCAGCAGTGTTTTCGCACCCCTGGCCTTCCGTGGGCTCCGTGCCATTACAAGACGTTTCCCCCGTCGTCCCACCAGCCGCCACGCACAGCGACGCACAGCACAGGGCGAGGACACACACGCACAACACATGACGTGCGGCCATCACGATCAAATATAGCTTCGGTCACTGGAGTCTGCCAGAGGGAGAGAGACGGGGAAAAAGGGAGCCCAGTGAAGCCGCAGGCAGCCCCAACACACACACACACGGAGCGGAAGGGAGCAGCAGGCACAACACAGGCGGCATCAACCATGATGAAAAGAAACCCATTAAAGAAAAGAGATCTGGACAGCGGAAGAGGCGCACACACCCCGCTGGAGTCCAACCCACAAGGCCCCAAACAAAGAGGGAACAGCGAGGCAGCAGCAGCGCACGTGGACGCAATTGTACTGCTGGCGCTCACATCCCTTTATGTGTGTCCCGGTGTGAGTGGCGCAGACACGGTGGGAGAGATGCAGCGAAGGACGCACCACACACAAGGGTGAAAAGAGAATCTCTCAGCAGGAGAAACAGTTAGTGGGCGGCGCACAGCAGCGCGCAAAGCAAAGCCCAAGCAAGAAAAGAAAAGAAATCACGCCTCCCCTTCCCATAAAGCGTGTCGTCGAGGGCAAGTGGGTCGGCGTTACGCCCACAGCGGGGCAGCAATAAAACGAAAACCAAAGAATCTTAACACTCAAGACTGCAGTCCTCCACACTCAACGCAATTACGGTGGGAGCATCATCGCCCCATGAACACACAGAGACACACACACAGATGTCTTACCACACAGCCACACAGACCAGAAGCAGTAGAAGGAGCGGCAGACGTACCCACGCAGTGTTGTTGCTGCTGGCGTCGGTGTTGCCGCCAGGAGGCTTCACGCCCTCTCCCGCAGAGATGGGAGTACCGGCATCAGTTTTGGGAGCGTCTTCGGCGGTTGTCTTTGATTGAGGTGTGGCTGTGGAGGCTGTATGAGCGGCGTCATTTACTGTGACGGAGCTTTCGGCTTCTTTGCCGTCTGCCTCGCTGGAGGTTGGAGCGAGGCCATCAGCGATGGTCTCAGGCTTCTCAGATATGTCCGTTGGCTGATTGGGCGGATTCCCGTTCTCTTTACTGATGATATTGCTGTCATGCTGAGCACTCTGTATAGTAGACGTTTTTTCAGAGCTTTCGTCCTGATCCGCTCCCTTAGGGAGACCGCCAGAAGTTGTGGGGGTGGTAGACGTAAGAGATGACTTCGCTGAAGACGGTAGAGTGCATTTGATCACAACCTCCCCGAAAATTTTCACGTCGTACCCAGCGGGGAAACTCACTTCGCGCTTTTGTGTCTCCGGGATATTCGCAGCAGTCTGTCCAGTTGCAGTGGGCTGTGCAGAGGCAGCATAGGTGACACTGAAGGTATTAGGTGCTGCAGTATCTTTTACCGTACACGTTTTGTCCGTGGTCACAGACGCATCAGATCCTTTTTTCGTACATTCAGCAACCAGTGAAGCGTCCAGCGTTAAGTTGTACCCAACGGGAACGGGGAACTCATGCCAGGACTTCCTGATATTCTGTCCTTCATGAGAGCTACCCTTCGGTAAGGTAACCGTAGTAAAAATGATTAAACCGTTGGTTGCATCAGTAGCCGCGGTGGACAGTGATGTGCAGCTGTTGTCATCAAACCTCGTCGTCATGGTTAGATTCACGCCATCAGGCTGTGTCAAGAAACTATCTCTGTGCTCAGGTATGCCAGTATCAGCCACGGAAAAGGGGACACAGCAGCACAGCGCGAGGACCACCAAGCACAGCACGTGGCGAGAGGGCCGCATCAGCATCAATGTAGCCTGGGACCACCTGTGTCTGCGGGGAAAGAGAAGGAGCAAGGCAGGTGGCACACAGAGAGAGACACAGTAAGGAGTGTCACTCCACCAGCACACCGGCATATCACACAATGCGTCCAACATGCGCCACAGCGCACCAAGCAGGAGGAGAATCATGTAATTAAAATAAAAGATATTTAAGGGATGAAGCACACTCCCTCGAAAACCAACGCCCTCTTATAAACAAAGAAATGGCACTGCCCTCACCGACATAATGGAGCCCAATGAATAATGTCGAGAGTCTCATGGGACGACCTTAGTCCCACAGCAGTAGTGAAGCAATGATATGAAATGAAATGTAGTTTTACCATGTGGAGTGGTGCCTTGCCGACTGTAACCCCTTCAGTGGGATCGCCGTTTCGCCGCCACATCCACGACTCAGAAAACCGAGCAGCCAATCAATGCACCCAACAGCAACAGCAGTGACGGCGCACACATCCACCCTGCGCTGCCGCTGCCGTCTGTGCCGCCACTCCCACCCATCGCGGCACTCACAACGCTGCTCGATGGAAGCAGAGGAGACTCAGGCGCATCGCTGGCTGGAGAGGATGTCTCCCCAGTGTGTTCATCAGACGTTGTGGTAGCTTCAGTGGGTTCGGTTGAAGAAAGACCATTAGGCACGACGGCTGCCTCTGAATCACCGGCTGGCGGGGCCTGTTCATTTTGCTGCAGTGATAAATCACTGCCTCCCTGAGATGTAAATGATGGAGCACCTCCTTTTGAGTTTTGTTTTATAACTTCATCAGCAGCCGTTACTGCGTTCTTTGCAGCATCCAGTATTTGTTGGAAAGCTTGAACCGCCTCATTGGCGTTTTCAAATGCAGCTTTCGCTTTATTTTCCGCTTTTTTAGCTTTATCCAGCGCCTCAGTGGCGTGTTGTGCTGCAAGCTGGGCGTCTTTCTTTATATTCTCTTTATTTCTCACTGAATTCACACCATCAGTGTTTTGGTCTCCAACTTTCTTGATCTCATCAGCTTCATGCACTGCCTGCTTGGCGTGCTTGTTTACACTTGTTGCGCTTGTCTGAGATTCGGTTGCGAGACTGGATGAAGAAGCTGCATTGCTCACCGCGTGAGAAAATTCAGCCTCACTCGTTTTTGCGAGTTTCAATAAATCTTTTACTTGCTGTGGGGCTAAATCACCCAACAACTCCATTGCCTTCTTAACTTTCTCCGTGATCATATGCGTCACCTCAAACGCTGCCTGTGCTGCCTTTTCTGCCAATTTTGATGATTCTGCCGCCTGAGTAAGGCGACCCATTGCGTTCTGTGAAGTTGTCATGGCTTTGAGGGCTTTTTGTTTAACATCAGCAGCCTTGTTCTGATCAACGCCAGGTTGAACAGCCTTTTCAAGGGCCACAGTCTCACTTTCCACAGTCATCGCGGCATCTAACGCCGCTTCTGATTTCTTCTTAGCATCCTCAGCCTTCTCGTAGGCCTCCCTCACAGTTGCTTCTGCAGTATCTGCAGCTTGCTTTACAGTTTCAAGAGCATTCATCACTTCATCCATGTTACTTGTTGGCGCCCCAACCGCCGGCACAATCCCGCACAGCAGCAGGAGGGCAACAACGAACAGCACGTGACGCACCGCCAGCATGATACTGCAGTCAGAGTCGCTTCGACGCAGAGGCCTACACAAGAATCAACAACAGAAGGCAGCCAAGCACACAGTAACCACCAGTGAGAGAACCACAACACCACACAGCACCAACAGAAGCCCAGCACATGCACAGTGCCACCCCACGCAACAACAAATAACAAAACACTTAGGGGACGGCGCACAGTCACGCACACAGCAAGGCTCAGGCACCAAGAGAAGACATTACCCCACACCCACAACAGCAGCAAACCACACTGAGTGCCGTCGAAGGTTAGTGCAGCGACGTCCTCCCACAGCAGCGCGGCAAGACACCACACAAACAACAACAACAACAGTCTTACAGCATGTCAATCTTGGCTTCAGGACGCAACACAATCACACGGATACAACCGCTCACTCCGCACACAGCCCAGCACACATAGCAGCAGCAGCACAGCCGCCGCATGCACCCACTCGCCGCCACCGCTTCCATCCGACTCGTCTC